CAAGGTTAGTAATCTACTCAACATTACACAGCAAATAAGTTTCAAACCTGAGTCTCGAATCCAGAACTCGCTCATCTCAAATCCATACTAACTTAGAAAGCCTCTGGACTGATGCTGGAAAAATACAGACATACCTCAACTACAAAGCCATCTTCTGACTGCTCTATAAACGATGCTAAGTCACCAGGGCATGCAAGAGAAAAATACATTTCCTCCTCTCTTCACAGACAGGGAGAGATAAGAGAAGAATAGTTTGTTTTGGAATTCACCTCCAAATGAAAATTATTTCAAGTTTAAATGGGATCCCCTGAGTATACCTAGGCTGCCAGTGAGAAGATGTGGCTTAAAACTGCAATGTGGATGGCAGAGAAAAGGTAAAATTTGCTCTGGTTATCCACAATAGATAAAATCCTTAGGCACTGCCTACAATCTGATCTTAAGAACTTTGGTTACTAAAACGCTCATGTGAAAGAAATAAGAATTATATAACTATATTACTCCATATTTGCCTTTTTCTATAGAGTAACCGCAAAGTCAGTAATATTTAGTTTCAAAACCTAGCTAAACAACAGAAGAGCAGGAGTCACCACAATAGAGTATTAGGAAGAAAAGAAAGAAACAGTGTACCTGATCTATGAGTCGCTTTATGAGAGGTAGCCCTTCCAGTGCAGAACTGTCACATCCACTGGTCAACACTCGTTCAAATCCCAAAGTTAAGAGAGTCTCTAGAGCTGCCATTGGATCGTGAACCATGTCGAAGGCTGAAATAAAATGGAATTTTGAACAGATATCTCTAACACAGTGTTTTCCAAAATGAAGTATACACATTGACCTGCTGGACCTGTCTTGTACAGGCTTGCAAGACCCAACTGTGGAAGATGCAGGAATTTTGCAAGCATGATTGTTAATCCACTGGCAGCTTGAAATCAGTCAAGGTGGGCATATCTAAACCTTAGAAATCAGCAAATGCTACAAATCAGGGCTCTTTTATCCTCAAGCGCCGTTTCCCAGAACACCAGTCTGCAGACCATAGGTGGTCAGCATGATTCCAGATGGTACACATCTGAATAGGTGCATTTATTTAAATGCAGATTAGGAGTGAAAAGTTTCCATTTTTCATTAGTTGTAAAAGTTTCTCAAATTTAAAATAAATTAAGATTTTAAGAAAATTATTAAATAAATTTGGACAGGTAGCACTCAGGTATGATAAAATTGTAAATGTGATAGGCAAGTGACTCATTTTAGGAAAGTCTGCTCTAAGGCTTCAGACAAACTGGACAAACATACTCACCAGTTCTAGAAGAGGTCTTGGTTCACATTCTCATTAATGACTAGTATTTTGTACTAATCTATTTACTCCACATACTTAAAGGCTCATCGTATAAGGACAGTTGTTTCCAACAGGCTATATGAGATTTCAATTCCATCGTACTTTCTAAGTGACTTCTCTCTTCCTCAGAGAGGAAAGTGGCACAAGGAATCTCAAACAGAAACACTACTGCTTTGGTTCCAGCCCCGCTACGTGCTCTGGAAGTTCTAACCTATGGTGGATTCAGTGTTAGGCCCCTTCCTTCCAACCTGTAGTGTATGGAGGCAGCTAATTGACCACAGAGGATTTTCCTTTTTTGGTGGCAGCACCTTCTCACCAGTGATTACAGTATCATATTATCTCATTATATACATGAGTGAAAAAATGTGGAACCCAGGCCAAACAAAATCTTGAAAACATGAAAATATTTTTGTTAAACTTACTGAATAGTTTTAAAAACTTATATAAAATAGGTTAGTATAAGTGCCTGCAGATGTGACAGAAGAGCCAGTTTTGTGATTGCAAAAGAACAGAAATTTTAAATGATTTTCTTAGTTTAAAAACAAAAATATAATATTCAATATGATGGGTTTATTTTGAATTATTTAGCATTTTAAGTATATTTTTTCAGATACATGTTTAGTAATTTACTTTTCATATTTAGAAATGTTTTTTTCTTGGCTAGCCTCAAGATCCTGACTTTTAAGCCATCTAACATCTTTTATATTACTAGTTTATGAACATTGTCATATAGCAAGTCAACAAAACAGTTCACAGTTTTCTGGTGGTGTTATCCATTAAAAAAAAAAAAGGTAATAAATGTTTTATCTTTAATTTAAATAAATGGATTCAAGCGCTGGTGTCCACTCTTATCCTAATCTTTGAATGATTACTCAAAAAGTCAGAAAAACACTCAACAATTTCTCAAGCATACCATCAAGTCAAAGAAAAGAAAAAGGCTGAAGACTTCCTTCTTTTCATGTGCAATAAATAGCCATGCCTACTGAAGGCAAAATCAACACCCGTTTCTTCATTTTACCAATGCTTGGCAAAGGTATATGGAAATTATAGCTACCTGAATTTATAGATAAGATGTATTTTTTATATGAAATTATAAAAAATACTTTTTAGAAACTCTGGTATAGCTATCAATAATGTAAAGCAATTTTGTGCACTACAGTGAACATCTATCTGTTCATTAACTATCCAGCATCTATTTCTTCTTTCCTCCTTCCTAGTAGTATCCAATTCTTCTTCAGATATCCACTTCGTCTCTGCCCATGAGTCTTAAATTCTTCTGGGAAAGTTGACCTCACTTGTAGCTCTAGGAATGGTCTGACTAGCTTAAGCCAAGTAGTAGATTTCATTTCACAGGCCACAGTGATTTATTCTTTTTGGAATTGCATATGACCTAAGACAATCTAATAAAAATGAATCTCAGGGTTCTTGCTTGAAATGTTGTGACAAGTACATGCACTTGTAAGCAACGCTAACTCTCTCCCTCTATTATGTCCCACCACTACCACCATCTATTTTAACAACTTTTCCCAACTGAGGCTTCATATATTCTAGAAATTATGCATTTCTAAATCTACAACTGTCAGTCCCACGATCAGTATAAACAAACCAACTGGTAATACTGTAACGCTATAGAATTGTGCTCCAAAAAAATGGTTGTTGGCATTTGGTGAAATTAGAAAAGTGATACCATTCAAAACGGAAAAATGACACCTTCTA